GATTTTTTAGTTTGTTCTCATTCCAAATTTGAAAATTTTTCTTCACAGCTGCGTTTGTGTGGGTCTTGGATCGAAGAAAATTAAGTTTGGGAGTAGGAATAATAATAATTGTCAAAGTTAGATATTCGGCCGGGTTTCGGCTGGAAATCTGGTTTTAAATGGTTTTCAGTGGATTTTGATTTTTTAAACGGAAGTTTAGGGTTTTACGTCGGGCCCTAGACGACGGCTACTTTGGCCAACCGGACAACGAAGAAGTTGTGACCAAAGAGAATGATTTTATTTCTTGCGCATGCGTATGTAGAATGACGTAATACTCAGTGAGTCAGGTCGCTACAGTACTCCCCCGACAGTGGTGAGGTCGGGAGGAGCGAAGCACGATAAACAAGAAACAAGAAAGAGAAGAGAAAGGAAAGCGCAGCATGTACAAGGGGGAACGGCAAAAATATAATAATATGCTACATATGTACAGGCGAGAGCGCTGCATGTATGAAATTTGTTTGAGACGTGGCACAAATGCCGAAACAAAAATCAGAAAAGCAGGAAAGAGAGAGAGATGCATGACAGAGGCGGGTTAACGTGTCAGAGGTGTGTTAACGTGACAGAGGTGGAGAGCATGTCAGAGGCAGAAAGAAAGAAAAGAGGAAACGTACGCGTGACAGAGGAGTGTTATCATGTCAGAGGCGGCTGCATGTTGCAGGCTTGGCAGGATACCAGCAGGAGCGCTGCACTGATGCGAGGCATGCGAAGTGAGGCGGGGACAGATGGAGGCGAGCGCAGCTCCATGGGGTCCGGTGCCGGGCGTGTGCCTGCGTGCGTGCACGGTGAGTGAGCTGGTACGACGGGTGGAGGTGGCCAATTTCCAGCTTGAGGCCAGAACGAAGACGACTGGACGATGTGCCGTGGCAGGATAGCGGGGTATCCAGGTGGGCCGGGAGGGTGGCAGGGGCCACAGCAGCTCCGAGGCGGATCCAGTGACGAGTGGTGGTGAGGCTCAAGTTTTACGTCAACAGCCGGCGATTGACGGGATCCCGAGAGTTGAGGCGAGCAGGAAACTGCGGCGGGCCGAGCTCAGGGATGGCATGCTCAAAACTCCGAAGAGCGCAGCGTCAGGGGTCACCAATTTAGGGTTTTACGTCGGGCCCTAGACGACGGCTACTTTGGCCAACCGGACAACGAAGAAGTTGTGACCAAAGAGAATGATTTTATTTCTTGCGCATGCGTATGTAGAATGACGTAATACTCAGTGAGTCAGGTCGCTACAGAAGTTTTAGCCAGGAAAGCTCATCACTTGCATGGTGCCCGGCATGGGTTCGAATCCAGTACAGTTCATCTTGATTCTTTTTTTTCTTTTCTTTTTCGGTATACATGTACTGGAGCACAGCGCATGCATGTACATGTACATGCACATGGCTGTGCAGTTGTGCACTGCTGTCTGCAGTTCTTTATTTATTTATTTATTTATTCAACATCTCCTGGCCCGTCCGAAGACTGCCAATAAACATGAGAGGTCAGGTGATAGCCAACCACGGCAAGCTAAAAGGGAAAAAAAAAGAAAGATGCTGTCAGAGAGGGAAAGGAGATAGGGAGAGAAAAAGAAAGGGAGGCACATTAATAATACATGGGATCACTTCGGATGAGACAGTGTGTAGGGTTCTCCTAACCTTTGTAAATAATTAATTGTAGGAAACCAGTGAGTCGTGGCTTTTCACGACTTATTGTGGCAAACTGTACTGAATAATTCAAATCCTGTATTGCAATTAGCTCAATAAATCAAAACATTCCAGCATGCAGGAAACTTCCCTCGATCCCTGAAAGACTGCAGTGAAAATTCAAACACCACAACAAATCACAAAGGCAATTCACACAGCTCCCATAAAGAGACTAACAAAAAGGAAGCATGAGCAGTTTTACAAACACACACACACACACAATGCAAATAGGTCACAATTGTGTCTGGTTCAACATCTGCGAATAGTAGAAGACCAGCGAGGAACGAAACGGCCCCAATAATTCCGTGTTTTGTGTTGCACTTGTGACGACAGTATTACACAGTGAACAGATGTGCGCGGACAGCCGACGACGTATATCACCGTTGGCGCCGGCCTCCAGTCACGAACACATCAGCGCAGTTTTTCACGAATCTGTCCCGTCCACCAGTATGCAGAACAATAACGCGCTTGCCTTTACCTGATGGTGCTTCATTTGGTTGCTTGCCTATACACTCCTGTCACCATTGTCGTACCACCTCCTAGTAACTGTGTGACGCGCATTGACCCACGTCTCATCCAGGTATGTCTCACAGGTAGCGATGCCGCCATGACACAATCCTGTGCTGTTCCATCATTATTTGTGTGATACCTCTGGTCTTGCCACACTGGAATCCCATGGAATGCAACATTTTCCAAGAGCTAGTTTTGCTCATGTCTGGAAAATCGTCGATGGTTTCTCTGCAGCGAGCAGGAACTTTGTCTAGTGTTGGGTCCTCCTTCGCAGCATAGAATCCGTAAATTACTTCTTATACAGTCCAAAGCAAATCCGTCAGGGTTGAGTGGTTTCATGGCACGAGTCTCACATCACGGATTGTCACTCTCGTTGCCTTCATCACTGGAGACAGACAAGGCCAACCCCCCACGCTGATTTTCGCCGTCAGCATCCCTGGTACATCTGTTCATGGTGGAAATGCTGACGCCACACGCAACAGCAGCATGACGAATGGAATACTTGGGACCAATTCAATGCCCAGCCATTGTTCTCCTCGTCTTCGCAAAATATTGTAAAACAGACACCACCATGTACCATGGCCCGTTCGCGTTTTGTTATAATTATGTGGCATGTCGAGAGAACAAGTTGCCACGAACGAAAAGACACTCGAGAAAAAGCAAAATAGGGCCACAGAGCAGTCAGCAACAAAATGATTCCTCCGGCCACGAGGCAAGGAGCTCGAAGGACACTCTGAACAAGATGGCGAAATGCCACGAGTCACACCTGGTTTTTCGAATTTCGCGCGCAGATTTTCGTGACGCAACTCGCATGACATTTTCTCAAAAGTGTCCTTGAGTACGTTCTCAAGGTTTTCAGAGTCTATTATAAAAAAACGCACTGTAGTTTTCAGCCATTCCGTGCATCTTTTACCGCAATGAGTTCAACTTTGGTCCTTGCCTGCCGATGCCTACCACCAGTTTGTCAAGCGGAGGAAGCGTGCGGACGAAACTGTCGACGCCTACTTGGCGGATCTTCGGCGGCTGCAACGGCTGAGTGGACACAAGGAGGCAGCGGACGGCAAGGACCCGATCCTCTTGGAGCAGTTCCTGGTGGGGCTTCCGCCTCACTTCGCCGTGCAGCTTCGTTTGAATGCAGCCTCTCAACCTGCTGGGGCTACGGTAAGCTCAGTTGCAGCCCAGGCCCGTGCCCTTTGTGCTGCGGGCAGCTTAGTCAAGGAACCCGTTGCTGCTCTGACAGCCAGCCCTGCTCGACGACCCAGTGGCAGTTCCACCCCTAGTCGCCTCTGCTATGAGTGTCATCAGACTGGGCATTTGCGGCGCGATTGCCCGAACCGGCAGAGACGTCCTCCTGTTTGCTTTCATTGTCAGCAGCCCGGCCATGTCAAGCGTCAGTGCCCTCAGCTGAAGTCTAGTGGTGGTGCCAGTTCTTCTCAGACGCCCACTAGTACCGCCTGTGCTGCGGGCTCGGGCTCGTCGACCACGGGCAATGCCTGCCTCAGTGTCGTGGCAAGTCCCTGTTCGTCGCTGCCCAGGATTCATGTCTATAGTGAGGGCCAGGCCAGGCTGCGTGCTGCCGTGGATTCCTGCTCTAGTAAGTCCTTGATCAGCTATCGCGTTGTCTCCGAGTTGGGTGTACCCGTTCAGCTCGTAGAGTCCAACCCGCGCATTACCGCCATCGATGGGCAGGAAGTTGTGGTGTCTGGGCAAGTCCGGTTGACTGTTCATCGTGACGATGACAAAGTGCACCTGCCTGAAGTTACTGCTGATTTCCTCGTTGTCGACACCTTGGATGTGGTTGACGCTGATATCCTTCTGGGACTGGACATTATCTCCTCCGTGGGTGGCGTGCACCTTGGTTATGCCCCCGATGGTGTCCTCGCAACCGTATGGTTTGGTCGCCCGCGTGATCCGTCAACTGCATCCGATACCACGTCCGAGTCTGACAACCCGGAGAGCTCCGCTAAGTTGCCACGCGATGTCTCTGTGTCACGAGATGGGCCGAATGTCACCCTGTCCATGGGTGATGCTGAGGTCGCCTTCGACGCCGAGCGTGGTTTTTGGGAAGTCCAATGGCGTTGGTCGGCAGGCGCACCACCGCAAGCCCCTATTGGCTCTGGTATTGGCGAATACTCCCGCCAGAAGTTGTCACCGGAGCAGGAGGCCAAGTTCCAGGCCGAGATTGACCTTTGGCTGGCGGAGGGATGGCTTGTACCGTATGATGCTGATCGACATGGTCCACCAGGCGCCGTACTGCCACTGTTGGCTGTGTGTCAGGAACATAAGCCTACCACACCCGTGCGTCCGTGTTTGGACTACCGTGCGCTGAACGTTCGGATCATCTCCAGCCCTGGTCGGGAGGCACCCGCGTGCCCTGAGAAGCTTCGCGAGTGGCGGCAACGGAAAGGCGCGTCCAAGATTGTCGACATCCGTAAGGCCTTCCTGAATGTTCGCATCCACCCAACCCAGCAGCGGTTCCAGATGGTCGTTTGGCAAGGACGACAGTACGTGATGGAGCGCATGGGCTTTGGCCTTGCCATTGCGCCGAAAGTCTTGGACACTATTGTGAAATGGGTGACCCGTGACTTCACCGACACCGATAATTACATTGATGACATCATCACGCCGACAGATCAGGCGGAGGCCCTTGCGGACGCGCTGACCGCCCATGGATTGCCTACGAAACCTGCTGTGGACGTTGATGCGACTCGCGTCCTTGGTCTGCAGACGCACGATGGCCAGTGGGAGCGACGCGAGCCACTGTAACCCCCTCCTACCCAGATGACTAAGCGGAATGTATTCCAGTGGTGTGGTCAACTGACTGGTCATTATCCGGTCTGTGGCTATCTGCGCCCTTTGGCTAGCTGGCTGAAGCGCTTGGCGTCTGCAACAACGGATGCCTGGGATGCAGCTGTCCCCCAGGAGTTGTGCGACCTTTGCCACGATGCGGCAAAGCGTGTGGAGGGCGACGACCCTGTTCATGGAGCCTGGACTGCGGACGATCCCCAAGACTGGCGTGTTTGGTGCGACGCCTCCAGCATTGCCTACGGTGTCGTGCTCGAAGCTGATGGTACTGTACTCGAAGACCAGTCGTGGCTCCGCGGTGCCACCGATAAACGCCACATCAACGTCGCCGAGCTAGATGCCGTGGTAAAGGGCCTCACTCTCGCGTCGTCTTGGCGTATCCCGAAGTTGTGCATCATGACCGACTCCCAGACGGTGCATGGGTGGCTGCGTTCTCTGTTCGACAACATCAAGCGGGTTCACGTCAGTGGGTTGCACGAAGTCCTCGTGCAACGCCGGCTGCAGGTTATTCTCGATATCGTCGACTCGTCCGGCATGAGTGTTGACGTGGTCTGGGTACCCACACAGCAAAACATTGCTGATCAGCTCACACGTGTCCCACCGCCGTTCCTCCGCTTTGCCCGCCAGACTGCGAAGATGTCTGGCCCGATTGGTGATGCCGATGTCGTTGGCGCCGCTGTCGCTGATGATGCCGCCTGGCGTGTCCTAACCCTGGGCGAGATTGCCGCGGCGCAGCAGCAGGACGAGGTGATTCCGGTTGTCGTCGAGGACCTTGTGGCCGGCCATGCTGTCCGTTCGCCGGCATTCCAGCGTGTTCAGCAGCAATTGACCGTCGTGGATGGCGTGCTGATGCGGAGCGTCAAGCTACCCCCTAACGAGGTCATGTCAGTACCAGTCGTGCCGAATGACATCGAAGAGTTCGTTCTTCGGGGTGCCCATCAACAGACTGGCCACGCCTCCTGGGAGGTCATGTGGCGGTTTCTCCGGGGTGCCTGTTACTTCCCCAACATGGCCGAGAAGTGTCAGGACTTCATCCGCCGCTGTCCCCCCTGTACGGCTGCAAACCCTCGTGGTGGCCCCGGTGTGCCACCGACACGACCTGTCTCCCGCCAACGGCCCCTGGAGTGTTGTCTCCATCGATACCTTGGAGCTTGGTGTCAGCCGTTCTGGTTACCGCTACGTACTCGTCTGCATCGACCATTTTACCAAGTGGGTCGAAGTTGTCCCGATGAAGCGCCACTGTTCGGCGGAGGTCGCTGCTGCCATGGTCTCTATCTGCTCACGATGGGGCGCGCCTGAGGTTGTGCGTAGCGATAATGGCACTGAGTTTGTCAATGCCATTGTGTCAGCCCTGTTCAAGTCCTTTGGCGTCACGGTCCAGCGGGGCGCTGTTCGACATCCCCAGTCACAAGGTTCTGTGGAACGTTTCAACCGGACGCTGTTGACGATCATCCGCAAGACGCTCGAGGATGATGACGACTGGGAGACTGCCCTCGAGCTTCTGTTGTTCCACTACCGTTCTCGCCCGCACACCGCTACGAAGATTAGCCCGATGGAAGCCATGCACGGCTGGCAGCCTCACCGTCTTCTCATCGAACAAGATTCCACTGAACTGTCCGACAGCGCCTGGGTGGACAAGTTGCAGCGGAAGTCTGCCCGCCTGCGCGATCACCTCGAAGTTGAGCTAGCACGGCTTGACTTCCTCGATGCTCCCGTGCCCGAGTGTCCATACCCCGTTGACACTGTCGTCCTTCTTCGGCGTCCGGAGCGGCATTCGAAGATTCTCACCCCCTTCGAATCTGGATGGCACGTAATCCGCATCATCTCCCCGTCGACAGTCCGTATTGCCACAGCTGATGGTCGCTCCAAGCTGGTGAACGTGGATTTGCTGAAGAGAGATCCACAGGCTCCTGATGCGCATGGCCCTGCCGACGCGCCGGCGGCAGTGGAGGCTGACGACCGGGACCCCGTTGTCCAGCTCGTGTTGCAGACGCCCCCGTACATGATGCCATGCCTGACACGCCCGTCCATGGCTATGGTTTGCGCGACCGTTCCAGTCTGCAGGTCCCTGGTTGGTTCCGTACGTAACTCACACCGTTGTGTTCATTTACTGCAGTTTCTTGCTGGTTATTCTGGCCTTTCCCGCATCCATATGACATGCCTTGTAGAGTCCTATTACCACTGTGTGTGTGTCTCTAGTTTTGGTGCAAAATCTGTTTTGTCCAATGCCGCTCGCTCGTTAGTCTCCGTTTCCTCTTCCATGTACTGCATGTGTCATTCTGGACTTTTTCGTGTGACGGTACATTGCACCATATGCTTTGTGGCTGCTCGTGCCGCATCTATTCTGGTTGCGTGGGTATTCTCTTTTCTATTCGGTTCCGGTATGGTTGCCCTTCACTTGCTGTTTGCCATCTTTTATGTATATCCGTGTGTATGGTCCATCTGCGAGACCGTTGTCTTCTTTCCACTTTTGTCCCCTTGGAATGTTTCTTTGCCCGTTCACTTTGGTGATACAATTTCCCTGTTACCAGGCGGAGGAGTGTGATAGAGTGGTCCCATGGTAACAGGACTTGGCCAAGCATGCGCATGCTCCAAAGTTGTTGCGCAATGATGTAGTGCCTGTTGTTGTGTTGAGCCCGATTTTGATGGCGGCTGGTATGTAGTCTTTTCCTTTTTGTACTTCCCGTTTCATGTTTGTTCAGTCCTAATAATTATAATATTCCCGTCCTATCCGGTTGTGTTGCTGTGGAGTCCGGGAGGAGAGTTTTCAGTCACAGGTGTTTAATGGACAGCTGAGAGTTTTCTCTTCGACGTACATACTATGTTAGTTTTTGGAAATAACCCAGTAATGACTGAGTTCCGATCGATTGAAATTTTGAAAATTTTCGATCCCAGGGGATCGAAAGTTCTACAGTCCGTACACGTGAGATCTCTTTGGCCTGACTTTGACCCCGCTTCTATCTGATCCCATGGCCAGTACTCCCTTGTCGATCGGCTATTTTAGGTAGCTGAGGTCATTGCCTTTCCATTGATGCCACACATGCCATGCTTGAACAAAAACGGTGGAGTCGCGGTTCACTACACTGCACTACACTACACTGCAATACTACACTCAACTGCACTGCACTACACTACACTACACTGCACTGCACTGCACTGCACTGCACTACACTACACTACACTACACTACACTACACTACACTGCACTACACTGCACTGCACTGCACTGCACTACACTACACTACACTACACTACACTGCACTGCACTGCACTACACTGCACTGCACTACACTACACTACACTACACTTGTCACTACACTACACTACACTGCACTACACTACACTACACAACACTACACTGCACTGCACTACACTACACTGCACTACACTACACTACACTACACTACATTACACTACACTACACTGCACTACACTACACAGGGCATAGCTTAAGGATTTCATTTAGCTCGGACAAATGTCCTTCCGTTTTGAAATCTGTCCGGACATGCCCGGACATTTTCCACAACACATTCTCAGGGTGTTTCTTCTTTTTATTTTAGTAGTACTGAAGTACAGTCAGACCTCGTTTATCCGGTCCTCGTTTATCCGGATCCCTCGCCATCCGGAAGAAAATCGCTGGTTACCGATGTGCAGTATATGTTATGCATACAACATAACCGGATCTCGCGATCCGCATACCGGTGCATGATTTTGTGTACAAACTGGTTAAAATGTGTACAAAATGCTTCGTCGTATCCGGTTGCATGTGGCTGGCTAGCGCTTGCAGAAGCTAGTATCAAGGAGTTGTACAAGCAAATGAGGTCCTTGACCTGCTGGGTGTGTGCGGACAGCACTCAGTTGCATGCACTTGTCATTTTTCTCGCTTGTTTTACATACTGTGCATGCTAGTTGTACTGCATAGGACCTGTCTACATGTATGTATGATGTCACTGCTTTTGACATGCCACATGCATATACAGTATGTGTGTTCAGTTATCCGGTAACCTCGCCTATCCGGATGTTTTTGTGGAAAACAGATGTGTGCGGTTAAGCGAGGTCTGACTGTATATTCACAATGACTCATTATGTGCACGTACATGTATCTCACACATTACTAGCAGTCCAACCCATTGATTCAAGTGGGAAGTCGACACCAACGGTCGAAAGTGTGAATTGACTGTAGCAACAACACATTGCTCAGGCGGATCAAGTAAATATAGTGAAGTCTACGCCTGAGACTACGGTGTACGTGTTAGTTGTACGATATGCAAGTCGCATTTGGCACGAAGCTCCGAAGAAGCCCCCACTGGGCATAAAAAGGTCGAGAGGTCGCTTCTCTTTTTTTTTCTTTTTTGACCGGACACTATGTCTGGTGAAATTGAACACATCCAGTCAGTGGCCGAAAATGGCCGGAAAATGTCCGATGTCCGGCCGTTAATCTATGCCCTGCTACACTACACTACACTACACTACACTACACTACACTGCACTACACTACACTACACTACACTGCACTGCACTACACTACACTACACTACACTGCACTGCACTGCACTACACTACACTACACTACACTACACTGCACTGCACTACACTACACTACACTACACTGCACTACACTACACTGCACTACACTACACTACACTGCACTACACTACACTACACTACACTACACTACACTACACTACACTACACTACACTACACTGCACTACACCGCACTACACTGCACTACACTGCACTACACTGCACTACACTGCAACTGACTAGCGATGTCAGAGTGCCGTGCCACGTGACCTCCACGCTTGTCGCTGGATTCCCTAGCAACCAGCTGAAATGATGGCACAAAAGGCCAGTACGGCAGAATGCCAGTCGCGGCCAGAGCGTGCAGTACTTGGCACGCGGGATATTCAAATGTGACCTGAAGACGTCAGTGACAAGCTTGGTCGTGACTATTGCCACGAAAATAGAAGATGAACTTTCGTATCCGCGTTTGTGCGGGCGCACTGCGCCTATGGAGCTGGGAGTATGGCCGCCGACAAGT